CCATCCTCCCTTCCAATGAAGCCAAATCTTTCTTGACAGATTCAGTCACATTTTTCCCCAAGTCTTTGAACATCCTTTGCAATATGTCTGGTGTAATTCCTTTTTCTGTCATTTGCTGTGTCAAAGATCCTCTCTTCTCTTCTGCAAGTTTCACTGCCTTCCTAGTAATAGCCATTTCTTTTCTTTAGTTTATAATCCAGAAAAGAGAAGTAGAAATAAAAGAGGGGCTCCCCCCCACCTTTTCTCTGTATCCTTTGGTCCCATTGAGGATATCTTAGCTCTATGGTCAGATGATCTCTTGCAACTTTCCCTTATCTGTTTGTTTGACAAGCCAACCAGTCATTTTCTTTGGCAAATCTAAACAGTCCTCTTTCCCATAGCGGTATGTATTATTTATTTAATTATTTAATTCAAAAGTACTTTAAATAATTCCAAATTCAACTGTCTCCTTAGTTTGTTTTAAACTTTCTTAATTCAAACTCTTAGCAAGCTTTTTTGCTTTTAATTGTTTTTAAATCCTTATATTTGTTTTTTTGCTTTTAGCTTTTATCCTGGTCAAAGGATCATTTACCAGGTGGTATAGTTGCTATGCTGCTTAGAAGACCTCTGTAGCTTTAACTTTTTACATTCCAAATGTGCTTTAGAAAGTGAAGATTTGGACAAACAGAGGGTCCTTAAACAGGACAGCCGCTGAGGCTGTGAGCATGATATTTCTCCCATGGCTCCTGATGCTCTTATAAGTCACCTCTACAGTTCTGCAGGTCTCCTCATGAGGAGTTGTCTTCCAGAGCATATCTCCTGGCTTCTCCTTGTCTGGAGAGGTTCCACTGTCCCAGGCTTGCCTCCCAGTCACTGGATTCCATCTCAGCATCGTCTCCACTGTTTGTAGATGCGTCAGTCCTCCATTTTTCCCATCCTGGAAGTCCCTTCAGGTCTTCCAACAGTGCACAAATTGCCACTGTAACTGAGTCCATCTACCTTGGACTCAGTTACAGTGGTAATTGTACATTTGAATGTCTTTTCCAAGGCCTTCATAGCTGCTCTACCAAGTGCTAGTCTGCAGTATATTTCTTGACTGCTTTTCCTTTACTGTTGATGGTTGATCCTAAAAGGCGGAAGCTGTCTACCACTTCAATATCTCCATTGTCAGTTCTAAAGTTCTCCAACACCAAAGTATCATTATTCTTTCTATCCTGCTTCTTGAGAGTCCATGCTAAGATTTAAGGTTTATTCTTAAAATTTTGCAAATATTAAGTGAGATATGAGGAATGTAATTATATAATGTCTACGTTACAGCTATCATTGGGAGTTGGACAGCATACAAGTTTAATATATTGTTTCAAAAATGGTATAATTAATAACTCAAATATCTAGTTATATCCAGAACTAGATTAGTGAATTCATAAATTAAAATTACCTGCCTCTTTCAAATCCCAAATACTAATTATAGCAATTGCTATCCATCAAACCTCAGAAGTCAATGCATCTTTTTTTTTTTTTTCTGATATGGAATAGCAGGTATTAGAAAGACAATATCAGGTTCTGAAAAGGTTAATGTCATATTTATGCAACAAGGGGAGAAGACCCAAGTGTTTACCCTTCAGTTTGTGGCTATGAAAATAGCAGTCTTGACAGTGTTCCTGTTCAACTATATCATGATAACTTTCCAGTCTAACATATGAAATAGTCATGCTTAAAATTCAAAGGGCATTTAATATTAACTTCATGGAATTTAGATTTTAAAAATGTGCAAATTCAGATATTACCACCACCTCTAATAGGAGACACAGGCATAAAGTTTCATATAGAATAGAATACCACTTAATTATAAAGGAACATGAACAGAAGTGTTACATTCTACTTGTGTACTTTCTATAATCTTCCTTTGAAGACTATGTATAGTCTTTTGTGATTCTCTAGCATACTCTTTAATAAAAAATACCAACTGAAATTGAGCCAAAACAACTAGGGGTCAGCATTTTGGGGAACCCTGAAACGGATGGTAAAAGATGAAATATTTGAGAAAATTGCCTAAGAGCTGGACATGTTCAATTATCATTAAATTACCTACTTAGAAACTTGGCAAAAACAAATGTTAACATATGAGGATTTGTTGCAAGTCCTACTTACTTAATATGTGACATCTATGAAATAGACAGACAGATAGTATTGTTAGGATAAATCTTTGAAGTGCTTACAAGTGATTTTTCCACCCTGAGAAACTTAATTGCCATCTGTATTTTCCATTTGAGCCATATTTCAGATTTTCACTGGAAAAATGTATTTTCCCAGCAACAGAATTTTAAAATGTCATTTGTACCTCCTGTAATATATTTATAAATATGCCTTCCAAGTTGAAAAGGAAAGACCCACAGAGAGGATCTCAGGGTTTCTTTCTAGGAAAGAAATCACTGATAAGAAAACAAGGATATCAGCTCAGTTTTGCTGGGTGTAGCTCTTATCTTCAGGGCTTGTGACTTGATTATTTTACCCTTTACTCTCTTTCTTGGCAAAACAGGTCTGGGAAAGCCACCAGTTGCAGCTAACAGATGAAGACATAAGCTAATCATATTATAACAGTGCTGCCACCATTGCCTTTTCAGGTATCATGAATGCCTAGAAGTTCCTTACCCTATAAGATGGTTTCCTTTCACTTTTACAGTCTTGCAGTTGGTAAAAGGATGAAACTTTGGGGTCCCCATTTTTCCCTTCCCTTTTCCGAAGGTTTCTGATTTAAGTATATATTAAGCAGCACCCTTTCCTTTCCTTTCCCTTCACTTAAGACTAGTGAGAGCTGCAGAGTTCATCAAGGAACTCCTATACAAATACGGAAGTATACAATGTCCTCCAAAGCATACTTAGAAGTGTTTTACCCAAAGTGGATTCCTTTGCTGCAGCAACAGTTCCCCCTGCCCCTGTCTCCCCCCACAATCAACTTTCAATTTAAATTCCTCTTTCTCAATCAACACATACAAGCTTGACTAGCTCAGTTTGCATGCTTATTGGTGGGCTTGATCTTGTCAAGTAAAACTCAATATTGGCAATGGTGAGTGATATTTTAGAAGTCATAACATTGCTTGATTTGGGGAATGCTTCAAAGAGCATTTTTCTGTGCAATGTGAAGATCAACTGTGCCCCTGAGCCTTAGAGTTAAATAGCTGGAGGTCAACAATAAAACTGCAGCTCTTTTCTTGTCTTGAGGATTTGTTCTTGGCAAATTGTTACTCTTTTAAACCACTGCTTTCATTGCATCAAGATAAGATAAACTGAGTTTACTTCCAAAACAGTTTGGGGGGGTGGCAATAGTTAGTTCACAGAGTAAGATTATGGGCAGAAACATCCATACACCCATGCCTTTCTTCTGCAGCAAAATAGCTGCTCTACCTACAGAGTGTGAAGCGGGGAAGGAAAAATGTCCATCTGTAAGTATA